TTCTGGTTGAAGCAGTGGGAAGGAAAGCAGGATCACCCCAAAAGTCACGGGTGAGTTCAGCTTCACTCTGAGCTGTCGCACCTCCAAGGATGGACTCTCCATGGCCACCACCGTGCTTGCTCAGGGGCACAGACTGCAGTGGATGTATGAGGTGGGACAACTGGTTTTGGAATCAGTGATGCTTCATGCCCGTCCAAACTGCTCATGGATCTATAGCATTGCTTGTTGGCCTCAGAGTCTATATTTTCATATATTACAAACACAGCTCCCAGGCTCTGCCCTTCAGCTGACTTAAGCAGTGGGTTCTCCTGATTCTCTGAGCATCTGAACGTTACTCCAGCTGGGCATCTGGGAAGCCACTTAGTAAAGTCTATGTGCAACACGGAGGAAGGCCAGAGGATTAACAAGTGGGTGTGCCTTGGTCATGAGGGCATACGATCTGTTTGTGCAAATCTTTGTCTTAGTAGCAAAGAAAACCTTTTTTGTAGAAGCCCAATATTTTGATTTTCCTGCAGGCTCGGCAGGAAACTCTTCTGAGCCCGGACTAGTTCCTAATTCAAAGAGAAGTATGAGCAACATATGGAAAATTGAAATTTTGCTCTAATAGTGTTACTTGTGAAAGGTCTGATATCTTACTGCATTTTTAATAGTTCCAACCATGAAAGTTTGATCTGTACAGCTTTCTCCAGCTCTTGCCAATGAAGGCTGAAACTCCAGCTGATTTCTCAGTTAAATGGGTTCAGATTAATTTGCATTTGAACATTTACTCGTTTGCAGATCAGGAAAATTGAGTGAACTTTCATTTTCACCCTTGGTGGAGAATATCTTCCTCTTTTTGGATCCTGGCTGGCCCTGATCTTCATTTTCTTTCTGATGTAGGGCATTGGTCTTGCCTCTATTGATAAAGCCTGTTTTTCCTTCCTAGTTTGTACTGAACCATTTGGGCAGGATTTGCTGCTGTGGCTGTCATGGGAGCAGAGGTGGGTCACCCGCTGACTGCCTGCCCAGAGGGAGCTCAGCTGCATTTTGATCTGCTCTATGGAGGGAGTGCAATAAAGAGTTAACTGCCAAATGATAGTTTTAATCAGAGCCGGTCTGGGAGCGTTATGGGCCAACCGCTGAGCAGCAAACTTTGGGTTAAAAATCCTCGGTCACACATTCAGAAAAGGTGTGATAGTAAATTGATTTAATAGGACCATGCTCCTTTTCTGTCAGGGAGAGGTTGTTATTAGCTTGAGAAATACTTGGTTGGGTTTTTTTCACCCTCTCTTGCTCTCTCCTTTACCTTTTTTTTTCTTTCCCGCTAGGTGCAGCTCTCATGAACTTGGAGCTGAACTGGAATTGCTTGTCGCATGTCTTATTTAATTGTGCAAATTGCTTTCTATTCCAAGGACAAGTTAATGTAGAAATGGAAAGGATTAGAACTGTTGGGATAAGCGATCGCTCTTTCTTTTAATTTTTGGGTTTAGCATAACAATAGCTGCTATTTCAAAAGCAGTCCCTGGCTCTGCCCTGTCACCCTTTCATGCAGGCAAAGGACTCTCGTAGGGCCTGAGTTTCCCCGCGCTCTCCCTTGGGATAGTTCCAAAGT